ACTTATTCGAGTGGTGGACCTTCGGCGCAGCCTGTGTTTCCTCACAGCCGCCGGAACTTTGCTCCGAAGTGTAACCGTTTGGTACACTAAGGTTTTGTGCAGTCGTACTAACGACCGTACCACCAAGTGAGGCCATCGCACTCCACTCGTAGTACATCCACACGCTTGGGACTCTCCAAAACGTTCATCAGATGGCCATCTGATGAACAAGCGGCAGGCATCGTTACTGTCCGATGTTGCCAGTTTACCCGTGGTTCGTACCTTCTGAGCCACGGTATTCCAAGGATGACATCAAATTTGTCATCCAAATCCAATACGATAAAGTCATCGTCGTATTGGGTATCTTCTAGCGTATAGTGAATCTTCACTATACGCTTCATATCGGTTACGGATGCGCCTGTCGCAAGACGTACCGTCATCCTCGTAGGAGGTGTGTCACATTCACTGAATTTAAAGTGACCATCTTCTAGCGATTGGCGTCGCACAAAATTGTTGGACGCCCCACAATCGACTTAGAGCTCGAAGGGACAACTTATTCGTCACTTCGAGTTTCAAGGTAATGAGTGAGATCTCATTACCTAGAGCAGCAACGCACAATGTCTGTGTGTTGGGAGCAACCTTCATCAAGAGGCCTACAAATTCTCTTGACGTTGCTGGATCAGTAGGGTGCTCCGCACCTACTGATCCTGTCCGTTTTGACGGTCCATCCCGTTGTTGCGTCTTTGCACCAACTGCGGACCCTCGTCCCTGCCCCTTTCTCATGGGTGGACGGTCACTTACGCCCAGTGTCGCGAGACACTGGACGAGGGGCACTACACTCTAAAGCGTAGTGTCCTGTCTTTTGACATCTGTTGCATCTCTGCAACTTCTTGTAGCCTGTAGAGCGAGCCTTCTCGCTCTCTACATAACAGAGTTCCATCGGCTCTGGACCTCCGTTGTCATATCGTCTCGGTTGACGATATGATGTCGAGCTGGCGCGAGCCTGTCTCAGACTGAAGTCTTCCTGCTCCGCAATTGAAATGGCTTGTTCTAGTGAATCTAGTTCAAGCCGGAACAGGTGAGTCTTGACGGGACCATCCGCAAGACCCTGCATGAACACCGAAACCAACGTGTGTTCATCCACCGGATTGGAACTTATACAACTCGTGAGATGTCGTATATGTTGAGCGTAAGCGTGCACATCACGCTTACCCTGCTTGAGCTTCAAGAGTTCGGTTCGAGCTCTGAACTCAGCTCTAGGCGGTTCAAACGTTTGTCTGAGCCGCGACTTGAAGAGACTTCCAACGACCCAAACGCGTATGGGTCGTGCAGCTTGAGCCCCAGTGCCCAAGTCTTGGCACGTCCTGCCAGATTTGACTGGGCAAATGCAACTTGCATATCCCCGTCGTCGATGCGACGCGCCCTTATGGCGTCATCCAATTCGACGAACCATCTCAAGAGGGAGTCTTCTTCGACCCCCCTATACTTTGAGATGTCAATCTTCAAAGTCTCGGGCCGACGCGAGTGCATCGACCCGCCAGCAGCAGCGCTGCTGCTGTCTCAACAGTTCAAACTGTTGAGCACCTTGTTCTCTCAACAACTCCTGCTTGTTGAGAACCTTGTTGGTGAAGCAAGGCTACTTTCTCAGCGTTCTGCGTCAAGTTCATTTTGAATGAACTTGGCGATAGTAGCATGTTGGGCATCTCTATTGAGAGCCTCTAGCATGACGCTAACAGCATGGATGCCCATGGTCGAACCCATTCGTTCAACCGCATCCCATTCGACATCGCTCAAATGGGAGTAGCCGTCACGCGTAGCGTGAAAGCTTTGGTCATCTTCATCATCCAACATATTCATGTTGGATGTGAACGCGGTCCTCTGACGGACTACGAAGTGCCCAGGTGTAACGGGGGACTCTGAAGCTTGTACTGGTGACAGTACAAGCTACTTATTCTGATAACAGAATAAGGCGGTGCCTCGTAACTTCACGTACACTCGTACGTGCAGAGGAAGACGGTAAGAAGAAGCGAGTACTCGGTTAGAGTAGAAGTAGAACTGTATTTATAATAGTTAATGTCTGCAATAAATCACTATTTATCTTCATCTAACTATGTCTAAATACAAATGTGTAAATCAGTTATCTGCTCACCACTCATTGCGTGCGTCTGTCGTGGCGCGTCTTCGTTGGTTGATATAATGGCCTATATCAACCAATTAGGAACTACTTGGAAGTGCTACAGAATATTGTCCTTATGACAATATTCTGAGAATATAACTCTTATAGTTATATTCTATTAACAATTTCTTATAAATTGTTATGTAACGATTCACCCCGTTACATTAAACGTAGTTAAATGAATCACAATAGGGAATAATCGAAAGGATTCACTATACCGAATACAGCTCTTGTAACGGGGTAGCCCGTTGCGTGAAATTGACACCAAACGGTGTCAATAGGAATATTGTCTAGCATGACAATGTTCTACCGATATTATTCGAGATGGATAGTATTGAAGGAATATTATCCCCTTTTGGATAACATTCATGTGCTGCTCCAATATTGGTTGTTATAAGTCATATCAACAATGGATTGTGTAACGGGGTGAATCGTTACATAACAATTTATAAGAAATTGTTAATAGAATATAACTATAAGAGTTATATTCTCAGAATATTGTCATAAGGACAATATTCTGTAGCACTTCCAAGTAGTTCCTAATTGGTTGATATAGGCCATTATATCAACCAACGAAGACGCGCCACGACAGACGCACGCAATGAGTGGTGAGCAGATAACTGATTTACACATTTGTATTTAGACATAGTTAGATGAAGATAAATAGTGATTTATTGCAGACATTAACTATTATAAATACAGTTCTACTTTTTACTCTAACCGAGTACTCGCTTCTTCTTACCGTCTTCCTCTGCACGTACGAGTGTACGTGAAGTTACGAGGCACCGCCTTATTCTGTTATCAGAATAAGTAGCTTGTACTGTCACCAGTACAAGCTTCAGGGTGCCCCGTTACACCTGGTAGCACTTCGTAGTCCGTCCAAGGATCGTGTTCACATCCAACATGAATATGTTGGATGATGAAGATGACCAAAGCTTTCACGCTACGCGTGACGGCTACTCCCATTTGAGCGATGTCGAATGGGATGCGGTTGAACGAATGGGTTCGACCATGGGCATCCATGCTGTTAGCGTCATGCTAGAGGCTCTCAATAGAGATGCCCAACATGCTATTATCGCCAAGTTCATTCAAAATGAACTTGACGCAGAACGCGAGAAAGTAGCCTTGCTTCACTAACAAGGTTCTCAACAAGCAGAGTTGTTGAGAGAACAAGGTGCTCAACAGTTTGAACTGTTGAGACAGCAGCAGGCTGCTGCTGGCGGGTCGATGCACTCGCGTCGGCCCGAGACTTTGAAGATTGACATCTCAAAGTATAGGGGGTCGAAGAAGACTCCCTCTCTGAGATGGTTCGTCGAATTGGATGACGCCATAAGGGCGCGTCGCATCGACGACGGGGATATGCAAGTTGCATTTGCCCAGTCAAATCTGGCAGGACGTGCCAAGACTTGGGCACTGGGGCTCAAGCTGCACGACCCATACGCGTTTGGGTCGTTGGAAGTCTTCAAGTCGCGGCTCAGACAAACGTTTGAACTGCCTAGAGCTGAGTTCAGAGCTCGAACCGAACTCTTGAAGCTCAAGCAGGGTAAGCGTGATGTGCACGCTTACGCTCAACATATACGACATCTCACGAGTTGTATAAGTTCCAATCCGGTGGATGAACACACGTTGGTTTCGGTGTTCATGCAGGGTCTTGCGGATGGTCCCGTCAAGACTCACCTGTTCCGGCTTGAACTAGATTCACTAGAACAAGCCATTTCAATTGCGGAGCAGGAAGACTTCAGTCTGAGACAGGCTCGCGCCAGCTCGACATCATATCGTCAACCGAGACGATATGACAACGGAGGTCCAGAGCCGATGGAACTCTGTTATGTAGAGAGCGAGAAGGCTCGCTCTACAGGCTACAAGAAGTTGCAGAGATGCAACAGATGTCAAAAGACAGGACACTACGCTTACGAGTGTAGTGCCCTCGTCCAGTGTCTCGCGACACTGGGCGTAGTGACCGTCCACCCATGAGAAAGGGGCAGGGACGAGGGTCCGCAGTTGGTGCAAAGACGCAACAACGGGATGGACCGTCAAAAACGGACAGGATCAGTAGGTGCGGAGCACCCTACTGATCCAGCAACGTCAAGAGAATTTGTAGGCCTCTTGATGAAGGTTGCTCCCAACACACAGACATTGTGCGTTGCTGCTCTAGGTAATGAGATCTCACTCATTACTTTGAAACTCGAAGTGACGAATAAGTTGTCCCTTCGAGCTCTAGTCGATTGTGGGGCGTCCAACAATTTTGTGCGACGCCAATCGCTAGAAGATGGTCACTTTAAATTCAGTGAATGTGACACACCTCCTACGAGGATGACGGTACGTCTTGCGACAGGCGCATCCGTAATCAAATATGAAGCGTATAGTGAAGATTCACTATACGCTAGAAGATACCCAATACGACGATGACTTTATCGTATTGGATTTGGATGACAAATTTGATGTCATCCTGGAATACCGTGGCTCAGAAGGTACGAACCACGGGTAAACTGGCAACATCGGACAGTAACGATGCCTGCCGCTTGTTCATCAGATGGCCATCTGATGAACGTTTTGGAGAGTCCACAAGCGTGTGGATGTACTACGAGTGAGTGCGATGGCCTCACTTGTGGTACGGTCGTTAGTACGACTGCACAAAACCTTAGTGTACCAAACGGTTACACTTCGAGCAAAGTTCCGGCGGCTGTGAGGAAACACAGGCTGCGCCGAAGGTCCACCACTCGAATAAGTCGGGTGGACTGGGACAAAGATGTATCCCTAGAGGGGAACATCTAGAAGAGAAACAATCGATCGCTCAGGTTAAGCGAAACGATAATCCTAGATCGACTGGAGAGTCTTTCGTAGAGGATCTCGCTGTGGTTGCGCAACCCCAGCTAGAGGAAGTAAAGGGAATAAGTCCCAAGATTACAAATACGGCGGAAATAAGTTCCCCGAAACCCGCGGGAATAAGTCCTCGGGAAGACGAAGGAATAAGTCCTTCGAAGCCTGAGGGAATAAGTCCCCAGGAAATGACAGAGACATTGAATGTCATAGTCAATAACGGATCATGTGTAGGCGCTTATACACTTGATCTGATTGCGCCTCCGAAGTTAACTTCGGAGATCACTCAGTTGCCAACGCTCGAACATAAAAGATTCTTGCGTGATCTGCGTAGTGGCAAAGTCAAGCAGATCTGCATACTCGTCGCTGAAGACGAGTATGTAACCGACATAAGGTCAGCAACAGTGTTTACTGAGAACGAGAGAGTTCTCAGTAGTTCATCTATGGACGAGAGTGTCCTAGATGAAAAGACACGAATTGAGCGATATGAGTCCCAATCATGGGAATCGCTCAAGGAAAATCCTCTCTATGAAGATTTGGTTGAATTCAAGGATGTATTCCCTGAAACTGTTCCGTGCGAATTACCGAAGGATAAAGGTATTCGACACGAAGTCGAGCTTAAACCAGGCTCGAAGTACTGTGTCATGAAGCAGTGGCCACTGCCTCGTGAACAGTACTTGCGATCGACAAGTTCTTTGCCGATCGTTTAGCAGCGGGCCATGTGAGGGAATCAACTTCCCCACATAGCTCTCCGACCTTCTGTGTGCGAAAAGCAACAGGAGGGTGGCGGATAGTGCACGCGTTTAACAAATTGAACGCTGCAACGGTACCGGCTCAGACGCCGATACCGAGGAAGGACGTAATCATTGATGGTATGTCAAAGAGTACCATCTTTTCGTCCATGGATTTGATGGATGGCTTCTATCAAATCCTAATGCGGGAACGGGATATACCCTATACCGCAGTTAGCACGCCTAGCGGCATGCTCTGGGAATGGCTAGTAATGCCACAAGGGCTCAGTAATGCCCCTGCCACGTTCAACAGGTGTGTATCACATCTGTTGAGGCCAGTACGAGAATTCGCGCCGAGTTATTTCGATGACGTATTCATCCATAGTCGAGCTATGGATGGAAAGTCGGACGTTGAGGTTCACAAGTACCACGTCCGACAAGTTCTTACAATCATGCGAAAGCATCAATTGTATGCAAACCTCAAGAAGTGTATATTTGCAGCAAGCGAAATACCACTTCTTGGGTGCATCGTTGGTAAGAACGGTGTACGTCCTGATCCCGAAAAGATCAAGGCGATCACCGACTGGCCCGTGCCGGTCGATGTCAAAGGTCTTCGAAAATTCCTTAGCTAGCGGCGTATTTGCATAAGTATTCACGCAATTACGCCGAGATGACTGTACACCTCTCTCGTTTGTTGAAAAAGAACGAGAGGTGGTTATGGAACGCTGAATGTCAACGCTCCTTTGAGGGTATCAAGCAGAGCTTGATACAATCCCCAGTCCTAGCAATAGCCGATCAGGACAGGCCATTTCATGTGGTCTGTGATGCCAGCGATTTCGCAATCGGCTGTGCATTAATGCAGTACGACCTTGAAGGCGTTGAACGCGTCGTCTGCTATCAGTCGCGTCAGCTGCAACCAGCTGAGCGGAACTATCCAGTGCATGACAAGGAACTCCTTGCCATGAAGTATGCACTCGCGAAGTTCAGAGTCTATCTATTAGAGATAGACCCTTCGTTGTTTACACTGACCATGCGTCCTTACGCACGGCAGTGAACAGCCCGCACCTTTCACAACGAATGGCGCGGTGGTTGTCATTCTTTGCAGAATACAACTTTACGGTCGAGTACAAACCAGGACGACTTAATGTCGTCGCTGATGCACTCTCACGTCGTCCCGACTTTGAAACAGTCGCGAAACCCAACAGTGAGACAGTCACTGTTGCGGTTATGACGTCCTCAGTTCCATCTACAACGTTGTATGATGATGTGAGGCGGGCATACGCCCAAGATGGTGAGATAGTGAAGTTGTTGTCACATCTCTCCCAACCATCTCGAGAATCGTTGAAACGATTGTCGTTCGCGTATCGATCTGCATCAGATCGATACACTACTCGTAACGGTTTACTGTACTATACAGCCGTTTCTGGTGACACACCACGTGTTGTCATTCCAGATGATACTGATCTGCGTTTGCGGATCATGTTCGAGTATCACGATGCTCCTATAGGAGGACATCGTGGCCGAGAGAAAACATATCTCACGGTAAGTCGAGACTTTTACTGGCCCCGCCAGTATCAGTTTGTGCGAAAGTATGTTCGCGCATGCGAAGTCTGCCAACGAGTGAAGTCAAGTCCTTCACTGCGTGCACCTTTACAGCCTCTACCGGTTCCGGCTGAGTGCTGGGAATCCATCTCAATGGATTTCGTCTTCGGGTTACCCAAAGACGCACGCGGGAATACGGGTATTCTCGTATTTGTTGACAGATTCAGCAAAATGGTACACCTTGTGGCTGTACCAGAGACAATCACGGCAAGTGGCTGTGCTTGTGTCTTTATTGACACCATCTTCCGACTTCATGGGTTGCCCCGTGAACTCGTATCAGACAGAGATCCACGATTCACTGCTGATTTCTGGCGTTCCGTGTTCAAATCACTCGGAACGCGCTTGAAGATGTCAACATCTGATCATCCAGAGTCAGATGGTCAGACGGAACGTGCCAATCGTGTCCTTGAAGAGATACTTCGAGGATACGTACACTCCTTTAAGAGTTGGAGTGAGTTTTTGCCGATGGTAGAGTTTGCCATCAACAACTCGGTGCATGCGTCCACGACACATACACCGTTTTACGTGAATGGCTTGCGCCATCCGCGTGTACCCACCTTACTAGAGTGTAACTCTGGTTTAAGGGGGGAGGGACTCGCGCGAGCAAAAACCGATTTGGTTCACGCTCATCACGCTCTGACGAAGAAGTCATTGCGTTTGATGCCGATATCGATAACATCGATATCGAAGAAGATGATGCCAGTGAGAGTGCGGAAGCCCTCACTGAAGACAATGATCCCAGTGAGAGTGCGGAAGCCCTCACTGAAGAAAAGGTTGTTGTCGCTGCAGTGCGCTCACAGCACACTGAAGCTAACGAGTCATCAGATGAGTTCATACTGGCTCGTGAAACGGTAGTCCGTTTTGTGCAAGACTCCATCGCCGAAGCGGTGGATAAGCAAAAGCAAAACGCTGACAAGAATGGAAGGGCAAACACTCTTTTATTTAATAAAGGTGACTTAGTCCTACTGTCTACGGTTAATCTACCAAAACATGTAGTGACTCAACTTGGGTAGCAGTAAACTACTACCCAAGTACATTGGTCCATTTCGTGTATTGCACCGCCTAGGCAATGCATACACGATCGAGTTACCACGTAAGATGCGAACGCATCCCACGTTTTACGTTGGTCGGCTTAAGCCGTACCATCAGTACGCTGCTTCTTCCGATGAAGAACGCCCTTGCGCTCAAGCATCTCGCAGAGAGCCTTGTGCTCCTGATGGTGGGCATCAACAAGGGTCTGAAGAGCAGTTATCCCAGCCCGAGACCGATCAACAATCCCACGAGCTACCCTTAGCTCGTCACGAAGAGATGTCAGAGATCTCTCGTTCTCAAGCTGAGCAAAGGCAAACTCAGCTCGATGCTTCGAGGCAGTGTCCACCATCTGGAGACGCCTATTCCGCTCATGCTCGAGATCGTCGCGTAACCCTTGCGTTACGCGATCAAAGAAGCTCTCGGGAACACACCGATCCACATGATCGTGTGGAGAGCGTCTTTCCTCCTCCTCCACCTCCATTAGAGGACTCTCGCGGTGGCCAGCGCTATCTAGTAGAGCAGCTGTTGAACCACCGCGACGTGAACGGACGTCGGACGAGTTACCTCGTCCGGTGGCGCGGCTATCCCCCGTCCTGGGATTCTTGGGAGCCCCGCTCCCACTGATGGTTGACGTACTGGGTCTGGTCGAGCAGTACGACGCGACACATCCTGTGCCGCAGAAGGACCGCCGGAGAAAGTCTTCCCGGCACGGTCGTAAAGGGATTTCAGGTTGTCAATCCCTTCGTACATCTCAGTAGAGACACGTACGCGCCACCACGGGCTGGTAAGGAGGTAAGCCTCCTTAGGTGCTCGTGCAGAGTTGTTCACACAACATGGGCACGAGTCTCCCCAAGAGAGGCAGGGTAATCCTTTCTCCCTTGACAGACGATGCAGCTTATAGCGTGCACCTGTCGGGGTTCGCTTTTCAAACTTATCACGAGCTTTGATAAGTTTGTCGTTCCAAGCGTCACGACCTACATCCTCGAGATTATGGATGTAGGCGTTCCACGCCTGAAGTAGTGAGGGACCATCACGTTTGTGATTCCCACTGTACCATCGATGTCTGAAGAAAGCATCGATGAAGAACTTCATGTTCAGCGCGATAGTCTTTCGCGCTGGGGTCAAGGTGATGGATCTCTTGACGAATCGAACAATCGTGTTCGATAACGATCACTCGTCGTCGCCGACAAGTGATCCATGACAGATTTAGGAGGCATCCATGCCTTCTTTTCTGGAGCGAGACGCAACACATTGCGGTCCCGCTCTTCCTGCGACGTGCCGACAGAAGTACTGGCACCTCGCTGTGAAGTGGTGTCCATTGGAGAAACGACACCACTATTAGCGCCCGAGTCTCGCGACCTCGAGCGCCTTCGTTGGCGATGGTTCATCTGACTCATCAGATGAACCAAAGATGCTGCGACGCAAAGCATCGTCCATGCCACGCTTGGCAGGCGGCTTGGATTCAATTGCCGTCGATACGGATCCGTCATCCGTATCAGGAGAGTACGAGACACCGAGCTCGTACTCTGTGAAGACACGAGTGTCTTCATGACCAGCGCCTGCATCACCAGGTGATACAGGCTGAGTCGATTCAGCAACCGATGGGACATCAGTTGCTGTAGTTTCTGCTTCGGCGTCCGCACAGAGACGTGCAGACGCGCTCTCGGCGGCCTTGCTCGCGCATCGCATGGGCTTGTTTACCATGCGATGAGATGTTGGAAAGTGGACGCGGACCAACAAGTGCAAACCCCGTCCCAAATGATTTGGGACGAGTATCCATTTAGTCAATCAGTCACTAAAGTGACTGATGGTTAAGGGGGGTGATGTAACGGGGTGAATCGTTACATAACAATTTATAAGAAATTGTTAATAGAATATAACTATAAGAGTTATATTCTCAGAATATTGTCATAAGGACAATATTCTGTAGCACTTCCAAGTAGTTCCTAATTGGTTGATATAGGCCATTATATCAACCAACGAAGACGCGCCACGACAGACGCACGCAATGAGTGGTGAGCAGATAACTGATTTACACATTTGTATTTAGACATAGTTAGATGAAGATAAATAGTGATTTATTGCAGACATTAACTATTATAAATACAGTTCTACTTTTTACTCTAACCGAGTACTCGCTTCTTCTTACCGTCTTCCTCTGCACGTACGAGTGTACGTGAAGTTACGAGGCACCGCCTTATTCTGTTATCAGAATAAGTAGCTTGTACTGTCACCAGTACAAGCTTCAGGGTGCCCCGTTACATTTAAGCTACAAACATGTATTGTAACTATCTGCGCACCACTCATTGCGTGCTTCTGTCGTGGCTAGACTTTGTTGGTTGATATCTCGATTTCAAATTAACCAATGAGCAGTGTGCTACATCTGGGAGGCAACATTATCTATTTGGTAATATTGTGAGAATATTGTGAAATTATTGTGTTTGTCCTAGCATAATATTCCCTCTTGATAATTACCTTCTGTAATTTTTCATGTAACGGAGGCACCCCGTTACACATCGATTATGACGACCGACTCATGTCGTGATCAGACGGCGATCACGCACAGATGCCCGGCACACGTTGCTAAGCACGCAAGAGTGTATCACTCTAGTGGGAAGAAAAACAATAAGAAAAGAGAGGCCAGTGCCAATGCAAATTATTGATCCCAATCTATAGCAATTGCAGATAGTCGCGTGATAACAAAGTACAGACCCCGGTGCGCATGCAACATGTGACGTGCATGTGCAGCTTCAGTGGAAGTGTGGAATCGTAACTCAAAAGTGAATGCACGACTGAGGAGCTGTCAAAGAATTTCGTTGCTAAATCGCTTCAAGTAAAGCGAACGACCGAAGTAGCATTCTCAGTACGCGTGTATTCCCTTACCCGATCAATACGCTGTTTACACGCATACCAATTGCCGTATATCACGTTTTCTAGTCTTCACTTGGCCGCTACTGCGCTTTGAAAAGGTAGCATCACGTCACCCACAAGTTAGCAACGGCACTACAAAAGGCGCTATCGTGAAGGTGACCCAATTGTTCTCGTCATGTACTGCACAATGGCATTAGAACCGTTCCAAGCTCGAGCCGAGCGGCTGCGCAGATTTAGTGACGGTCAACACAGACTAAAAATCGGTGACCATTCACGATACGCCATCGTCCGTTCTGATGCGCTATATGAACCAAAACAAGAATGATCGAAGAGGAGAACGACTACCCTCATTCAAGGCCCAGGTAGCTCTTCATTTTACTAATGTTAAACATGCCACCGGTCGGGGAACGTTGCAACGAGTGGTAGGTGACATTTGCATAGTAACAAACGGATACGTATGCTGCTCGCTTCAATATAGCACCGCATTTCTACTATTCGAACAAATCATGGCGGTCGACAGAGAGAGACGTGAGAGAGAAAACAGATCGAACGGAGCTCTCGACACTCCACCTCCAAATTCCAAGTCATTTTTGCTCGACTCGGCAGAATATTATCACTGCAATTGATGCTGAGCGTCAATCGCTCACGCTGGAGCCAGGCGAATTGCCACAACTTGCAGTCGATACGACTGTGGTCAGAGTGGAAGCTCTGAACATAACGACGACAACACGACGCGTGGACGACGGCACATTCACACATGAATATCTCTAGCTGTATAGACGCTTGAATGACTTTAGGCGCCCCCGAGGCGACGTCCATACGTAGACACGGTCATACCCCCACGTGAAAACTGCACTTGTGATCCTTCAGTTGCGGCGAATGCCTTAGCATCTATTTGGAACTCGAGTTCATTGAGCCAGAATCGTCGAGGTACCCAGCGATTGACGTCTGCAATACAAAAGGTCTGTCGCTACGTGCACGACAATGGCAGGTCGTCTACAGCCACGACCAAAGAAACTCAAATCCTCAAGACTTGGCGTTTGTCAACCGTCAGGCGCGACGGCAGCTGAATAGATGGACACGAACGGTTCATGCCCCGCTCTTTTTAACGACATTGTGCCTGAGAGCGTCGCGTCACGTGGGAAAATCGTGTCTCTTGCTCTGTCCTATCCATCGTACCGTGATGGGGAAAAAGGACGCGCGATTACTGTCACCTTCAGGACGACTCTAGACCTTCGTCGTCGTCGGTTTTCGTCTGTTGTCGTTTCTTCATTCTCCTAAACGCCGTCTAGCGTACAAGTAATCCAGAGACGCTAGTCTCTCTCTCTCTGTGTGTGTGTATCGGTGTGCGTCAATTCCTCCTTTTCTATCGTTGATACGACCACCACCAATGGGCAAGTACAGTCTCCAGCACGGGCGCACCCCGCCGGTCCTTGACCTCACCCCTGATCGGCAAGCCTCTTTGATTGCCGAGGTCGAAGCCGTGGTGCAAAGCACGCTGGAGCTCCGTCTGGCCTTTGCCGCTGGCGGACGCCAACTCGACACGTCTGCGTGGAAACTCGTGGCCACGCGGGACGACGTGCGGGCGTATCGCTCGCGTCGCGCGTTGCACGGCGTCGATGCATCAGACTCGCGGCTGGAGACGTCGACTGACCCGCAGGGGTCGTCGTCGTCTTCAAGCTCGAAGTCCACGGCAAAGAACTCCTTACTGGCTGCGTCCGAAAGTGACCGCTCGCGGACGAAACGGGCTGCACGTCCGCCGGCCGTGGTTCTGTCCGGTACGACTGACGGCACGGCCGAAGATGCGGTCTTAGGGATGCTCGCGGATTCCGAGCAGCATTGTTTAATGCGGCAGTCCTACCTAGGGACGGAGCTCGAAGACGCTCGGTTACTCTATGTCTTGGCTCGACCGACAGTCGAGAACCCATTCACCTTCATCGGGGTCAAATGGGGTCGACAGACCTACGGTCGCTTCAGTCAACCTCGAGACTTTGTCTTCCTCGAAGCCACGGGCATCACCACGGACGCACGAGGTGACGTCGTGAGCTACGGCATCCGCCAATCCACGGATCTGTCGGATGTGCTCGTCCTGCCGCAATCGCACAACGTGCTTCGCGGCCACTTGTCCGTCTGTCAGACGTTTGCTGACACGGACGCGGTCGTCGCGGGCTCGCGGCACCGGTCCGTCGAGATGTTCTCTCGCGCGTTTCTACACTTAGACGGTGGCGTGCCCGTGAACGTGGCGGCGTCGGCATTCGCTGACAAACTGATGGCACTTGTGAATACGATGGAGTGTGCGACGGCCTATAAGCTCACGTGGATGATGCGGCAGGCGCTTCGCCATCCACAGCCGGGCGGGCTCGGCGGCTCGGTTTCCCACTGTGCTAGTTGTTCACACAGTCTCAACAGATTGAGCTTCCTGTTGCTCCATCGAGGAGGTACGTGTCAGATCTGCCGTCGCTCGTACTGCGGCAAGTGCTCCGTGAACAAAAAGATCTCGATTGGCGTTGGCAGCGAAGTCGTGCAGAAGTCGCTGCTCTTTTGTCTCGAGTGTCTGTTAGAAGCGAAACGCATCTCGGCTCGAGAGGTGGCGGTGGATCAGCAGAAGTGGTAGTGGTGGACTTCTCCATCGAGAAAGGTCACGGACATGATGATCAAGGAAGGGTAGGTAGTTGTTTTTGTAGACTAGAGACTGGAGGGACGGCAAGCGGTTAACACTAATAGACGCTCAAAGCGACAAGGACGTTTCAGGTCGTGGTCTCTTCGTGCAAGCCTGTGGCCCCTGCGCACCAGACAGGAAAAGTGCAAGTCGAAGGACAGAGTCATCAGTCTAGTGTATGTTAGACGACAGTCTACTTCCTGTTTGCTGCATTCTGAGCGAGTGTCCATCCGTCTGAAGGTCGCACGGGATGGATTGTCATACCAGGTGCACTCTTGCAGGTCTCACGCATCTTTCGAGGTGGAAAAGTAGTTTAGGTATTACTCTGTGGATTGGTCACCGTCACCATTGCTCTGGAATCTGTAAGTCATGCACATGCACGCACGTGATCGACTGAAAGGCGACTATGAGAATGAGTGTGGATGCAGGTCTCCCTCTGCTAGCTTCTACACTTGATGGACGCATATCCTATAAGTTAGCAAAGGCTAGTAGCTATCGGATTGACGTGGCGTCGTACGTTGGGGATTTTACCGATTAAATTGCATAGCATAGATTGTGCAGTAAATCAAGAGTTGAGAAATTAACTATTTGCCAGATACACTAAAGTTATTCATTGAAGAAAGGATTGAAAAGTGAAAAGCTCATCTAGAACCACTCAATCCTCTTCCACCCTAAAATTAAAATCTACCCAAAATAAACGGAACCACAGCCCCAGAGACTGCTAACACAGGTTCTCACCTTTTGTTTGAACCATTTGTTCCGGTTGTGCCTCGAAATTCGAGACACTTTGCCTTCCTTGTCGTTTGCTGAGGATTTTACTCCTCGTTAGGAAAACGGTGTAATTTTGGCTGACTCTCCATTAATAAGCTAATCAACTATAGTGGAGAAAACGAGAGAGCCCCTACAGTGCTCAATAATTAAGAGATTCTGAACGCAGTGTAGGAGGAGAAAGAATGATTGAAAAAGTCAAAGAAGGGGAGGACGCAAAATGCAGACAGATTGATTCAGTGCTAGCAGATTCCGATTTAGTGCAGTGCCAACACCTTGCATTACTTGTCCCAGGAAACCCAGGTTATGCGTCCAAGCTACTCGCCGCCTACAGGATGACATTCGCAGTGCCAACGCCACACAAACCACCATCGATGCTTGGAACGAGTGCGTTTATTCCCCCACACCAAGTACATATTTTCCATCTGGACAAATGTCTCGCTTCATGGCTATTAGTTACAAGTTAGCGCCATGGAACAACCATACAACGAACCCTGGTGACGTCGAATATTATAAAAACGGAGATTACAGTTATAAAGGGATTACATATCAGAGGGAGTTCTGTAAGAGCGTCTCCAGCAGTGAGTCTAGCTTAACTTTGTGTGCACCAATCAAGGCCAGTATAACTTCTTCTCATACTTACACGGTAAACTTTACAGCAGACCGTAAAAATACATAATTTAAGTTTTATCTGGCCGAACCTGACTGGTAAAGTTGTGGTCGCCTGTCTTTTGATCCCCCCTTAGGCTCAACGTATAATGTTGCGAGTGTCATTTCGACCCACGTCGTCGACTTCAAATCATCGTTCTTCTCTATCAACTGGAGCCAGTGGCATGCAACAAATCTTCGCCAACGACCTGATTGATCTCAAAATCCTGAGCCAATGACATGCAGCCAAAAAGTCATCGCGGGTGTCACAGAACTACAAAACGTAGGCGGGATTACGAAAAATTAACTTTTTCTCGAGGTATCCCCGAGCAGTTTCGCTGCTGTAGCGCACTTTTATGAGTGTAACTAAATAACGTTTTTTGATTGGACAGAAAGCTAAGTTATGCTGACTGCTGTAGACGCTCTAAGTATTTGCTCGACGCGTTTGGACAGGAAGACCTTACGCCATTGGCAACAGTACATCAGGAGCATCTCCACCAGCATGAGCATATTTATTATCACCGGCTGAACATACAGCGACTCCTTTGCAGCTGTAGGTAGAATGAGAAGTTGCATGCTGACTGTCGATATGCCACGTCTCAATTGGCGTCGTGGACCAGGCTTTCGCACCAGACGTACCTCCTCTTTAGACCCAGCCGCTGCAAATGCTGGTCGAGAAGACGTAGCAGTACATAAGTTGACTTTGTGGACTCAAACAGTCTGCCATGTTATACTTCGCTTGACCGTTACCCCTCTCTCTACTTTCCTGTGTAATAAATTAGATGCGAGAGCTGGGCCCCGTGTGACAGACTCACCACGATCAGATTCAAAGACTCTGCGCCACAAAACTCTTCAAGGACAATGAGCACAAGATTTCGCATGCTGTTTGAAAGCCGCCATGACGTAATGCTCATTGCGTAGCGGGGTCTAGACCACCATCTTATGGCGCTGCGAGAGAGGATGTCGATACCCGATTGCTGCAAGAATGATACGGTAAGGTAGCTCCACTTCGGTAGCTTGAAGACGAACAGCGGAGTATCTGTAGCACTTGACAACTAAGAAGGAGTAAGGAGACAGTTTTCAGCCCCCTCGGCCGGTGGTAGAAGCAGCTCCCTATTTTTCTTCACCTCTCCTCATGCAAATTCATGTGGTCTGTCGCTTTTGTTGATGTGTCAGGGCACGATCAGCCTTCATCTCATTCGCTTTCCCTCATCCTTCCCTTCAAGACATCGATGGCACCGACAAGCTGCCCCGTCACACAACATCCACGGCAACACAATGGTTATTGCACATCTCAGCCCACAACCCACCCACCCCAAGCCCCCAACTCCGATCACCTCTTACGGGAACCTAAGTATCCAAAACTTGATCCCATTCTCTGAACTAGGTCACGTATATAGGGCGAGCTCCATCCAGCCTTCGCTCCTCTATCGTCTGCAAAGAGCTCCGCGCTGATCACGCGGAATGTGGTACCTCCGTTTACGCAAATCACCTGAAAAGGGACCAGAATAGGTGACTGCAGTACCCGTCGCAAGAGAACTAACGTCTGAGCGCGAGCCCTTTCGTGAGCCGCAGCTCGTTTGGGCAACGCATGGAGCGACATGTTCGACGTCATGAAGCGAAGCGCTGCAAGGATGATCCACAACGAGCGACAGAGCTGTGAAAGCGATTGTTTACTTGTGCAAATGAATGGTGCAACGGCGCTCGAGGGTGAGGAAGACGTGACGAGAGGTCAGTGCTTTTGATTTCGTTGGCGGCATTTGTCACGTGCATAGTGGTGACCAGCCCAGCTCACTTACTTATCGGGCGTGCATAAGTGAGTTGGGCTGGTCACCACTACGCCCGATCCTCGTACGCCTTGAGATGATGCTCCTACACTGAAAAGCCGACAGGGACGTTCCCATTACACGTACAAAGACGAAGCGAGCAGAGCTGAACCTCGGCACGCTTTAGAGGTTGACGCTCGAGTCGAAGTGACAACGTCAATGCACGATATATCGCTCGTAGCGTCAAGCCGCACCGTTCAGTACGTCATGAAGAAAGAACACGTTTACACTAGCGATCGTGACTGGTATCGTGGAAGAAAAAGTGTGTGGTGACAATAGAAATCGCATTCGCAGACATCTGCAACGCCTACCTACCAAGTCGCTCAGGCGGCAGTGGCAGGTAAACAACCTACAGGAGGCTTTCTACTCCCCCACAAAGATGTGGGGTTTCCCCATGTCGAGATGCGAAGATAGTACGATTTTAAACGCTTTAGATCAGGTGGACGCACTTCAGCCTGTTCCCACGCTGAATGTATCATCGGGTTGTGAGTATTGAGCAAAACCAGAGCTCGGGCTCGACAAATGCAGTCAAGCAGACGCAGCCGAGCAGTTAGTCGCTCGATTTTGATACGACTTAAAGCGCCATGAATCTGTCAAGCTCGATCAAGTGTTGATGTTCTTCTGTTCCTTCTTAGGCGCAGTGAGACGGCCGCGATCGCAGGCAATGCTAGATACAATAAGGAAGTGAGTAGGAGTAGTGTGTGCGCATGTGCTTGGCTTGTCCATCTCTTGTGCTGTCCACCGACAAGCCCTTCGAGTAAGCCGGAGCATTAGGCACGATAAGCGAATAGTGATGTGCTGGCTGCGCTTGCGTCTTCCAATGCTGTTCAGCAGCAGCAGCAGCAGCTCTTAGTCGCACCAACTCGACGCCGACCACAATCGCAATCCCCATTGCACCTTTGTCTCCTCTTCACTTGTCAAACTGCACTCCAAGCAGGGAAGCGCAAGCAAAGTGAAGTCACATCTGAGCTTTTGTCATGCCCAAGATCGACTTGAACGAAGTGGAGCTACCAGCCCTTACGCTCACGCTCGAGCGAAAGCTCGTTTTGCTCGCTGAACTCGATGCCCTCGTCGAGAGCACGCTCGAGCTCCGAAGTGCCTTTGCAGCTGGCGGTCATCAACTTGATACGAGTGCCTGGAAACTCGTCAAGACAGTGGACGACGTCCGCGCTTACCGTTCGCGTCGCGCGTTGCACGGCGTTTCGGACCAAACTGGGGACACGTGCGAAATGGACTCGTACGCGTCGTCCTCTCGCTCGAGTTCCCAGGGATCCATGCGCACACGGGACAAGACGTCCAGCCTCGGCTCGTCCACGTCGTCCAGCGGAGAAGGACGTGGACACCAAAAGGTGCCGAAGAAGACGGCTCGACCTCCAGCCGTCGTGATTTCCGGCATCATTGACGGCACAGCGGAAGATGCGATGCTCGGCATTATCTCCGACACGGAAGTGAAGTTCAAGATCCGGCAGGCATATCTGAAGACCGAGCTTGATGACGCCCGTACGCTCGCGGCGCTCGTCCTTCCCACCCGTGAGAACCCCTTTGCCTACGCAGCGGTGAAATGGGGTCTCGAGCCATACAGCCACTTCAGTCAAGCTCGTGACTTTGTCTTCTTAGAAGCTGCTGGCTTAACGACCGACTCAAAAGGCGAAGTTGTTGCCTATGCCGTTCGGCAATCGGTTGATCTCTCGGACATCCTTGACCTCGTCCGTCTACCGAACGTCATTCGAGGCTATATGTCTGGCTGTCAGACGTTCGGGAATATGACACCGTTGGGTGACACGGGTCACCCGACTGTCGAGGTCTTTTCCCGTGCTTTCATCGAGATGGATGGCAGCGTGCCAGTGAATATGGCAGCAGCTGCGTATGCAGAGAAGCTCATGGCGCTTGCTCTTTGTATGGAGTGTGCGTACACGCACAAACTCGCGTACTTGATGCGGCAAGGAACTGAACGAGGACGTCAGGGGAGCAGCAGGCAAATCACGTCAAGCAGCAATTGCACGAATTGCACGCGTGTCGTGTGTCGAGATTTTTTTTTTCTACAGCTGCAACGAGGAGGATGCTGTCGAATCTGCCAACGAACGTTTTGTGGCAGATGTTCCGTCACGAGGAAGATGTACGTGAGTCTCGGGAACGAAGTGCTGCAGAAATCGATGCTCTTTTGTCTCGAGTGTTTGTTGGAAGCCAAGTCGATTGATGCACGGATAGTGGCTTCGGACAAGATTCATTGGTAAAGTTGGGCCAATACGTGCCGCTACTAGGTGGAGGTTGACGATGTGCAGCGACGACCATGGTGTCCTGCTGCTTCATCTCGAGCAAATTTAGGTCGTTGCTCGTTGTTGTAGCAAAGACAAGGCCATTCAGTACAAGTTTTGCAATTCCTTCTTCGCTTTTAAACTGGTCGGGTCTTGGCTTGCGATGGCATCGATCTCGACCTATTCGATGTTGGCGCTCACGTGGCGATTTAATGCTTACGTACAGTCACCCTAGTACATACGTAGTCCCATGTTCTACATCAATGTGGACCTCCAGCTGCAGCTGTTGTCGACCAGTGGACACTTTCTGATCCACCTCGAAGGTACATTTTATCCAAGGACTCAGACGGCGCAGCTTCTCTCGTTCTCATGGTTCGTACAGTGTCAATAAAAAGACTCTAGATGGTTCATGATGGCGTGTATATTAGCACCGGCGTCAATACACGTCATTCTACCTGGTAAATCGACAGTCAATTTTTGCTCATGGGTATGATAAACAAGAGCTTACGATGAATCAGAAATAGATCATAAGACTTTGCCGTTAGCGGGAAATGCATCGGATAAAGTTGAGCTTCCTGGTTGGCCGCACCATCCCACCAAGTCGGAGATTTGGAGGTAAACACCAATACTCTGGTGAGTCTGCCAGCAGACAATGCAAGCTAGGGCTGTCGCAACGTGATCCGAAACCGAGGTAGGACTACTCTGTAAACGAAAAGCTATAATCGCTCATTGCCAGCTGGTACTGCCGCTACGTTCTACAAGAAAGTTACTACGATCTAAAAAGGAAGCGACTGCGCACGTTTTGGACAATCAGCGGTACAACGACCGATATTTCTCAGTCTTATCTAAATAAGCTTTGCGATTCTGTATGCAAGATGTATTGTAGCGTACAAGAAGCTGCGTCGCGTCGAAAACAATACGCGCGCGCAGAGTTCAACCGCATGACCCGACGGGCGTTCAACCTTACTAGCGTCAATAACACCGGACCTGTTGCCTGGTTTGTTTGCGAAAACGCATCGAAAGTGCTCTTACAATGTTCATTTGCACGAATTTAACACAACATAAAACAAATTGCCGAACATCATACCGCGGTTGTCTACGCCCAAGGAAGCATTTCGGCTGCTGTGTCCGTAGATTAGGGATAGTAGACAAGCCCTCAGGTTCAAAGAATGCTGAATCAGATTCTTACCAGTATATGCGGACGTCCCACCGAGTATTGAAGAGCACGTACACTGACGCTCAAGAAATCAAGCATGTGTTAAAGTCGCACATAATAATAACGTGACAGGAAGGAGTAAGCTGTGACACCGAAGTGCCTAAATAATGTGGTCAGGCTAATTTCAATACAACCAGTTTAATCCATTAGTCTGGATGGAATTGTAGCTCTATTTATTGCAGTAGTTAATTATAACAGCAAGCAATGATTACAGCAACTACAGCAAGCAGCTTATTAATACAGCAATTAATTGTAAGTCCGAAAAGAAATATGAAATGAATATGTTTGCCTCTCATACTCTATATATATACTCTGCCCGATCAGAAGTCTGCCCGAAAAGAATATCAATGCAACCAGGAAATTGCTATTTCCACTCCCCGAAATTACTTATCCCACTCCGATGGGTAACGCTTTTGGGTATGATCATTTTCACACCAAAAAAAAGGATCCTACGTTTTTCTAGTTATGATCAAGGGAGTCACTCAAGCTACCATGTTGCTCCGTCGCCGGCTACTTTACCCAATTAAACAACAACCCAGAATCGTACAAAAATGGGAATCTCTCAGTCGTTGCATCTCTTATGCACACACATCTGCAACAATCTCTAGTGTTAAAATTGTTTTCGTTCCGTATATTTATCTTCTGCCGTTCAAGTCGCGGTTTCGTAAATTTCTCAGTTGATGGAGTTATACTTGGTTCTATACGTTCTTAGTCTTCTTCACATCACTTAGCTAGTGATGTGCGGTCCGTAGGACGATGTCACCCGTTGTGTAGCAGTGCTACCCTTTCTCCTTTGTCAGAGAAAGACTTTAGACTCGTAGAGTCTCTTTGTGTATTCAACTAGACGGGTATGAATTCAAAAGGTATCAAATCTTTAGAGACTTCGTGAGACTTGACTCTAAGTGTACATACAAGCTTTTAGGCTTCTAGCACTAGTTCAGGGAACTGGTGGACCCAAAAAACCACGAGACACTAATGCTCAAGAGTAGTTTAATATAGACACTTAATCCTTACGACTAGAGACGTCTTAGGAAGACACGTGTCTGAATCTGATCGAAAAAGAACTGTATGTATTTACTGATTTATGGTGATAATAAACCTTGCTAGCGTATTTAACCTTGATACTATTCTGCCCAATCGAATGGCCCTTATGGAGATTCTTTTGGTGATACTACACCAGAACTATGATGTCCTCCGGAGACCCTTTTACAGTAGATACCAGCTATCCGTAATCGATAAGGTACGGTACTATCGCTTAGCGTATGTGATACAATAATACGCCTATCAGCGAAACTGATCTGTTTATGCGTATATTATACCAGCATACCTGGTTATCACAACTATTTTTGTAACTACAATACACCCTCCTCCATTAAAATAATCGATGCCCCAGATCAAAATTAATCACCTATTTCATGAAGATACCACGGACATAACCGATAACCTGACGGTTGTGTTTACGACACCTTAAGAATTTAAGGTGAAGCCTTCGTATTCCCCCGAGTCTTTAAGAGACATCCTGAGGGAAGAGAACATCGTCGATTTTGACAGTGAAACTTTTGCACAAGAGGGTGAAGACCCCGAACCTGTCACGTTAGCGTCTCTCAAACCCTCGCACACAGAGCCAAACCCATTTTCAGAAGGTAGCACAGCTCAAGCGCTAACAGCGTTGCATGCCTAAATTACACTTGATAAACATGATATCACCAACAAGCTCGATAAGTAACATCAACGCGATATCGAGGGGAATGATGGTACTAGACTTCTATATCAGACATTACTTGTTGCCCGGGTGCATTTGAACTATCGCTTAAGCCTTTAAACGTTGCTGAATTGTTGCAAAATTTCGAAGGGCAGCCCTTGACCACTTGGCACATAGGGCGCGGGGCTACGGCGTAATGAAGACATTTCCGAGCTAGATGATCTCAGACATGGATACTTAACGACCGAAACAACAATGGTCTCCGAGTATCAGGTCAATTTGGCGGAGAAAGCACGCGGTGACTCTCTACTCAAGCAGAAACCGGCATCAGTTGATCTGTACCCGGGCAAGAGTGAGGCCGATGATGACAGCGTGTTCACTCACTAGGTTTATAGAACACGTCTCTTTGCTAGCATGTATGGGCTTCGTGTTAGTGCATCCAACCCAAAGTTTATTTAGACCGCAAATTTCGTTATGAATTTGCCAAACTAAAAGCCTAAGGCCAGCTAAGTTCACGGTATCTCACTCGATAAGCAAAACAGCTGCTGGTCATACTACCACTGTTTCGACTGTACAGACAGTTGCGAAACACTTGGGATCGGTGAGCAAGCCGTACTTCCCCACATCTATTAGTGGGAAGCGCATTAGAGTGCAAGCTGACCCTCAGCACAATGCTCAAAACGTCAACGGCATACGGGTGATCTTGTCGAAGGGGTACATCAAATTTCCATCAGTTCCTAAATTCAAATTTATAGGCCAATTCACGAGATACTGGTATTTACCGTTTTAACGACGATGCTTCAAAAGCATTTTCTCGTGGAACAGCTAGTTTCCTGGCTCGTCAAGCAACGCAGGAGGGAGTCGGTGTGTCGGTTCAGGCTCATGAAGATCTGGTGTCAGAGGTGATGCGACTCCGCCAGTCTTTAACTCGAGTGCAAATTGATCAGTCTTAGACTTCAAGGGAGAAATCTCGGGATATCCTTGACCAAGTGAAGTGAGCTCGTAAGTAGTCATCGACTGAGTTGGCTCATCTGCATGAGCAGATTAACCGTCTCGGCTTGATCGAATCGGTCAACAAATGATTACGGAAGGTGGAATAAAACCTGCGTCGACTGGATGGCCAGGTGGAGCTCTTGACGAAGATGCAAGGGGGACGACGTCTCTCTTTTAGGGGAAAGAGTCTTCAAATTAAAGGTAGAAGAATTATGATCTGAGTTGCGCAAGCCAACGTAAAACACTTAATGTTTACGTAACTTGCGGGAACATTGAGTGTAAAAGCAGTGCCCTTCTTAACAATGATTGTGAACGGATCAACAAAACGCGGACTCCCTTTTTTCTTGAATACTACCGACACTTCATTGATAAATAAATTTTCAGCATTTGGTAAGACTTGGTCTCCTCTTCGTAAAAATCAAAACAAACGCTTCTTTCATCACCAGCTTGTATTTGTTCTGTCCTGGCAATCAGACATTGCATTATACGCGTGTCTGTAGACACTAAAGGGAGCCGTGCGAAACTCACTCACTTGTTTCTACATCGTGGTAGGGCTGATTTTGGAAATCTTGCAGAAGACTCTCCCCTTCAATCCCAGAATCATGGAGTAGTAACTTCATTGTTATGGGGGGGGGTGAGACTGTTAATATAAAAGAGAGTCAAGCCGGTCGAGGCAGGAACAGTGTTTTTTCTACGCAAACACATTGACAGGGAAAATCGAGCTCCAAGTCTTAGGCGACTCAGCACAAACACTGCGAAGAACGTCGCCAATGACGCGATTAACTTGCTCAGCCTGACCATCGGTCTGCGGATGATCCGCTGTGGACATTACCAATCGCATGCCAAGAACTTTGAAGTTGGAAGTCCAAAACCTGCCTGTGAAGTGATAATCGCGATAAGCGATGACCGCAAGAGGTGTTGACGAACACACGATCTATAAACAACATAGCTGTAATTTTACATCGATGGGAATACGGCATCACCGACAAGTCATCCATCTTGCTTAAACGGTCACGAAAGACCACAATTATCGTATTGCTGTTACAGTCTACACAAAGACCAAACACAAAATACATACTGATGTGCTCTCAACACTCCGTGGGCGCAGGCAAATAAACGAATGGAGCAGCCGAATTTGCCGAGGGTTTGACCCGCTGGCACGCTTCGTATGTACACACAAATGTGCTCGCCCATTTGTAGAGTTTGGCCACCAGCAGTGTTGACTCACAGAACCAAAAGTCTTTTTCTCGGCCCGAATGCCCACTAAGGGCGTATGCTTTGCGTAAAAGAGGATTTTGTACTTTACATCCTCTTCGTGAGGTACGAAGACGCTAGGAGCATCTGCTACATGTATTCAATAGTACAAGAGATTGTTATCAATAATATTTGTTATGAAGGCTCGCGCATAACCATGCCGAAGATGGACTGTCCGAAACTTTGTTCTCCTCACTCTTAAGGTCATAAAAATGCCAAACCACGAGAATCCCGTGGATATGCCACACGTATATACTACTTAATAAGAGACGACAGATTCTTGACATTAGTAAGCTCATAATTGGGACGGCGACAGAGAGCATCAGCCCTCACATTTTATTTCGAAATTATCCTTCACCTCGAATTTTTTACGAAAAAAGGAAATCCAATGAGCCATTATCTGTAAGAGGTGAGGTGACTATGTCGCCGTGCGTAATGACGCATGATCTGCATTGACGACGAATGAATCTAATCCGAACAAGTGAATTCTAAATTGTGTAAGTGCATACCTCATATCAAGTAGCTATTTGTCATGAACTAATGGTTCTTCTCAGCAGGTATCAGTTGACGAGATTCGATTGCGATGACTCGCTCGCGGCCTGCAGCATCTGTTTGTAACTGGGCTCTGCCTATGGCAACTTCAGATGCACGGCGGAGAACACTCAAATGGTATCTGATTTTGGCAACGCCAAAATAGGAGCATGAAGGAGATTCTTCTTGATTACCCGAAATGCATCAAAATGGGTGTTTCATCGCTCCAATCTGTGTCCTACTTAAAACGATCATTTAATGGCCGAACCACATCAGAGTATTTCACTATATTTGTGTGAGTAATTGTCAAGGCCAAGCCACCTACGAATTCTTTTTGATTCTTATAAATTGGCCAGTCCACTATAGCCTTGACCTAGTGGGATCCGTCCTAAGGCCGCACTTCCCAATGCAGCATCCTAAAAAATTATCTTCCCTGCGCCAAATTATATTCAGACGCATTGGCGTGAAATTTATGGATGAACACGAACTCGAGCAAACTCGCACATGCCCAATGTGAGTGACAACAACTGACCGAGATTTTCCGGCACGACTATGGACAAAAATGTCATCAAAGTACGTTTTCGCCTAATTTCGATCTGGGCGGAAAAGATGCGTCACCAGATAAATAAATATTGCCCGAGCATTAGACAGCCCTTTGGGTATCACCAGCAATTCCCATATCTTACCACTCAAGGTACTCATTGCTGTAAGCAGAATAGTCACTCGCCCGCATAGCATTCGACAACAGCCATCGACCAAGTCGAGTGCACTATAAATAGTACAGCCAACCATGTTGTTTTGTGAGCATCCTTATGAGGAATGGATGTCTGTGCCGAAATAGAAGCCGCGCTAAGCTTGGTATGCACATGCACAATACGCCACTTGTCGTTCGGCTTTTTAAAAAAAAAATCGGTGTCGAATGTAGAGATTTACTTTCACGTATCATTCTTGCCTCGTGCTTACACGGTAGAAGGCATCAGTGACATCAAATCGCTCTTTAGGAAAGGTACAATCTCGTGTGACGCAGTACTTAGTCCCTTTAACGAAGTCCTTTTATGACGGACACCTCTATCTGGAGGTAAAACAGAGGGGGGTCGTGACACACCACATCTTGAAATTCCTTGACAAAAGGAATAAAAGGAAAATGAGTTTTTTTTGATATTGATGACCCACTACGCTGAGTATCTCGTGTGTGTACTCCAGAAAATCTTCATCTAAAATTGAAGAAAAGCTTACCTTTAGAATGTCGGTTGGAATAACCACCACCTCTGAATGGTCTCTATTCTTGATTGAGTGACCAAACTCATGGACTGACAACTATTCGAGTTCTAGAAGAGCACCAAACGAGGGTGTAGCCTCAAGGCTAGCCGTGCCACCTCAAACACCAGTCACTCTTTACGAGTGTATACAGCTGATTGTCATCATCACTTTGTGACATATCATGATGTATGTCATTCGTATCTTTCTGATCGATGTCATTGGTAACCTTAATTTGCTCTGAGCTAGAGCTGATGTCACTATCGACATCCGAAGACAAATTCAGTTGACATGAAGTTATAATCACGTGGATTACGTGTCACTACACGTGCATCCGTTGAACCGGGCTCGAAATGCATTGTTAAACTCACCAACAACGTCGAAATTGACATTCAGTGCGTCACTTTTCCAGCCAACGTCACTAAGTGGGTATATATGTGCCACTCCACGCTCATATGATGAGCAAACCCCCCGATAAATTGACTCTTGGTTACTAATTATTTCTTCATTCAGAACGTTGCTCATACAACGACTATCACTTCGCAGAGTACGTGCCGCTTGTAGCGGAGCTACACAGCTCCTTAAGTCAGAGGAAGACTTAACGCTCTACGAGCAACTTAGTTCCAAAGAACTAACGACTTTACGAGTCAACAAGCTTTACAGCTTCAGACCCCAGTTCCAGGGGACCTAACGATTCAGTGAATCGACAGCGCTCAGTGCTCAAGAGTAGCTACCGCAAGGATGTGTTGCTAACTCTTAGTGATCAGTGATCAACGATCAAGACGGCTCGCAAGCCACGTGTCCTTTAGATCAAAATGGGAACTGATTTTTTTTGTTAAAGCCTATCTAATATCTTAATCCTACTCAAAGATCTTTCGTACCTAATGGCTGACACTCGTCAGCCCCTACAAACCATTAAGATGTTCTATGTAACCTTCACAAAGGGGTAACCTCAGGTTTGTAACACCTCTGGTACAAAGTACCATAATTTCGTGCAACCTCGTTACACCCTCCCCCACCAGACTGACGTTTGCCATAACGTCAATCGAACTTGTGTTCTCAGCGGGAACAGTGCGCGTACGGTGAACCTTAAGGTAACGTACGCTCTAGCACGATGTCCTCATCACCAAACGAGTCAAAGGCTCTGTGTGACTACCTCGGAATAGAGGAGGAGGTGGACTATGGTAGCGATACCAGTGTCCGCGGTGACACAGGGACATTGTCCAGCTCACTGATGCCTGAGGCACAACCTTCGAACACCCCATATCCGTTCGCTGAACGTGGAGATGCGAGCGCGCCACCAGCGCAGCATGCAGCATCTGGGTCTGATGAAACTATCATCACGAACCCGC